GAGTGAGAACCTTCCTACCAACTATTGGGGCGGCCTCTCCTAAATAGTGCTGAGCCGCCGTCACACTCAAGTCAGCCTCCATCTGGGCTGTACAACCTGAAAGTGAATTGGTCCAGATGGGAGGCCGGGTGGTCAAAAGAGCCCGGAATGTGTGGCCTGTGACGCCATGCTGTTCCACGCCCTACCACACTGCATCAGCAGGAGGGCCTGGAGGTCCATGCCCTACCACACTGCATCAGCAGGAGGGCCTGGAAGAAAGACACTGCCTGACTCAAGAATCGGATCCAGGCAGCCTCGAAAACGAGCTCAGCCAGGAATGTGCGACTGGGCTGAGAACAGACAGAATACCCAATGCCTGCACTCTGAACAGACAAAATGGACACACGCTCGCCTGAAAGCAAAGCGAAGCAAAGCAAACTGAGCCGAGAAGAGACGAAAACACATGTTCTGGCTCGGAATCCTCAGATCAGACGAAATGCACACACGTCTGCCCGAAAACAAAGCAAAGCAAATTAAACTCATCTGAGGGCACGAAAGGACAACACATGCCTGGCGTCAAAACAGGCAAAATAGCCCCCATGCCAAGCTGAATCAAAAGCAAACGTGATGGGCAGGGGGGCGAACATACGTACTTGGACTCCGTGCGTACCAAAGATTTGCCTGCCTGCCTGCCTGCCTGCCTGCCTGCCTGCCTGAAATCACCATAAGGCCCCCTAGGTACAATGTCGGGCCTAACGGGCCATGTAGGAGGCTCTAGGCATTCTGCATGCCCATTCCCCTGATCTCCAGCTCATCAAAACTTTTCCCGCTGTATGACATCTCAACAACTTCTTCAACCTAAAGTACTTTTTTCTTTGTTGATGTCCCCTAACTCACCCAAAGTTTTAGTTACACCCTGTCCTTGCCCGCTAAGCATCGGCATTAATTGGTCTCATTGAACAATTGCAGGTTCGCTTACTTGGCAAGGAGGATGGGAGTTTTCAAGATCAGAGACGATCAGCATATTGTGTTGCAAAAGTTCACAATGTCATGGCCGTTTCTGCCCATAAGCATATGTCGAATGTCCACATGCGGTGAATCACACCTGTGGCGGGTTATAATTATCCCATAGTCTTACCAATCCGCAAACGCCAACAGAGACGGACAGGCACAGAAGCACATACAGACAACTGCAGAGCAAGTCAGCAAGCAAACAGGCAGGAGGCACGCAAGAAGAGATAGAAAGAAATAGAGAGAGAGAGAGAGAGAGAGAGAGAGAGAGAGAGAGAGAGAGAGAGAGAGAGAGAGAGAGAGAGAGAGGGAGTCATGGCTTCAGCGCGGCTCTTTCTCCTCGTCCTTGGTGGGACTGTTTGTTTCCTTCTTCTGACACTTCTATGTGATTCAGTTCTTGCTAGTAAGGAATCTAAGAATGAATCAGATAAGGATGAGTATGGAAACTATTCAACCTCACCGGTATCCCAGCAAAGTCAAACTCCTGCGTCATCTCCGTCAAGTTCGGCCAGACCTGAAAGTGATAAAAGGACGGTCAACATGTGGAAGTTGGCACTCGGTGTGGCTGGTGGTGTACTTATTACTCTCCTATGTGTGCTGGGTTTGTGGGTGATGATGAGGAGGAAGAAGATGAAGACGAAGAAGAAAGAGTCTGCAGGAAACACAACCATGCTTGACCAGGAGGACACCCAGTCCAGTGATCCCAAGACAAAAAGTAGTCTATCGGTTCTGGTGTCGGGTGGCAGCTCAGTATCAACTGGAGCATCAGCATATGGCCCAATATCTCTTGAGGGCATTCGGGAGATACCCCTTGCAGAGATCAAAGCTGCTACCAAGAACTTTAGTCCTCAGTATCTTTTGGCAGGCAAGGGCGGAGGATTTGGTGAAGTTTATAGGGCCTTCATGATTGTTGGTGGAAAGAGCACGGAAGTTGCGATCAAAGTCATGAAGGGCAAACTGGATGATCATAACTACAGGCAGTTCCTTGCCGAAATCCAGATCTTGAGCCAGGTCCGGCACAGGAACCTCTGCATGCTCCTTGGGTACTGCATAGAAGAAGAGCGGTGCATACTCTTGTACCCGTTCATCACAGGCGGAAGCCTGTATGATCGCCTATATGGAGACGAGGAAGTAACCACAACAGCAAAGCAGCAAAACCGCCAGGTCACAGCTCCTTCAGTGTCAGTCGCTGAAGGAGACGCCGAAGGAGGGAGAAAGATGCGGGAACCGCTGACCTGGCAGGAGCGGATGTCTACTGCGCAGCAGGTGGCCACCGGTCTCCGGTACCTTCATCACGAAGCGTCCACTGCGATCCTCCATCGCGACATTAAGAGCCGGAACTTGCTCATCGAGGGTAAAGGGAAGCACTTGCGGGCGTATGTCATTGACTTTGGACTTGCTAAACCTGGTGCTGCGGGGAGCGAGCAAGGTAAGACGGTTCAGATCAGCGGTTCGCAAACAATCCTAACGCTTGGAGTGTGGGGCACTCCAGGCTACATTGCTCCTGAATACGCTCACCAGATGCATTTGACGACAAAGAACGATGTCTATGCCTTTGGCGTGGTTCTTCTGGAGCTCGTGACTGGCAAGAGAGCTGTGCTGATCATGGAGGAAGGTGTGTGGGTGACCCTCGTTGCATGGTGGCGGCAGTGGGTTACTAATGGCACGTTGACGAAGGAGAACCTGGCTGAGATCACAGATCCCAGGATATCTCAGAACCTATCCAAGCAAGAGTGGGAGATGGTTCACAGGTTTGCGATGCTCGCCCATCGGTGCACAAGCGATCTTTCATACCAGAGGCCAAGCATGGTGGAAGTTATGGAGGAAATCGGAGGTATCCTTAAAGAATCACAACCAGCACCCAATCGGCGCCCCAAAGGAGAAGCGACAACACCTACCTCGCCTTCCGCTAGTCCTTGAGAGCTCCTCTGGTAACAGAACGTTGACATCAAAATGGGCGACCTACGGCACATAATATGCAGGGTGCGAGGGTGGTTCTTTTTGCCGGACAGAAAAACTTGAGGTACAGGGGCCAGTACCCTGCTAACGAGCAATTCTTTTTTTTTTTTTAATCCTGATACTGTAACACTAAAGTCAGAAATCCGATTTCATCCAGCGGTCTAACTCAGTTGGTAAGGCTCGCAAGTGGCATTCAGGAGGTCGTGGGTTCAATCCCCATTGGCCTCATGTACCTTCCTGGGCATGCTTGGCGCCCGCCACCTAAAGATAGACCACTGGATCCCCCGATTGGCATTTAGCAGAGTCTGCTGATGTTCGTAGGGGAGGGGACCTGAGGGGAGGCACAGGGATTGGTCCTGTCGGCATGGTCCCTGATGCTACCGGCTGTCCCCTAGTCGGTATCGCCCACCTGCAGGTCGGGAGCGGCCCCCACATGTTCTCTCGTGAACATGGTTCTGGCTGCTACGGGGTTCCCCGTATGCCCTACAATTAGGAGTTGCGGTAGGTAGGTAGTGTGAGGTGAAATTGAGAGAAGAATATAGCTTAAAAAAAAAGAAAAAAGAAAAAATCCGATTTCAAAGAAATCCAATTTATATCTTTGCGGTGTGTTCAAACTTCAAAATTCAAAGTTCAAATTTGTGTAGCACGCCGGACATGTTCGGCGCCCCACCGAGCATCTGAGCCCCACCGAACATCTGAACATGTTCGGACGCTCGGCCGAGCGCAAAGTAGAGGGCCGCCGAATGCGTCCTTGTGTGGCCGGTACCGGGCCCATTTCAGCCATCCCGGTCCCCGGGGGGGCATAGTGGGTGGCCCATGGGTGTGTGTGTGTGTGTGCAGCAAATGCAGCAGCCACATCAGCTGCATCAGCAGATGTGGGTGTGCGTGTGTGTGCCTGTGTGGTGTGTGTGTGTGTGTGTGTGTGTGTGTGTGTGTGTGTGTGTGCTCAGGGGTGATGGGTAATGCCCCCCAGGCCCCCCCACCCCCCATATATATGTATACAACTTCCTGATGAGTCAGTGAAACTCCGACGAAACAGTTTGTCACAGCCCCTCGTTTGTTGTCCTCTTCTCCCTCTCTGCCTACGGTTTACCAGGCAGCTCTGTTTGACTATATATATGACCCGGTTTCCAGCACGTGCTGCTCCCCACGAATAGATTGGAGCTTTTNCTCTCTGCCTACGGTTTACCAGGCAGCTCTGTTTGACTATATATATGACCCGGTTTCCAGCACGTGCTGCTCCCCACGAATAGATTGGAGCTTTTGTTAAAAAAAATAAAAAATAAAAAGAACTATATATATCGTCAAGATAATGAGTCGGTGAAACTCCGACGAAACAGTTTGTCACAGCCCCTCGTTTGTTGTCCTCTTCTCTCTCTCTGCCTACGGTTTACCGGGCAGTTCTATTTGTGACGATATATAATATAATATATATATATATATATATATATTTCAGAAAAAAAAAAAAGAAGAAGTTCGAGCTCGATCGAATTTGGGTCGCGTTTGCCCCGGTTCGGGCTCGGTACCGAGCATTTGGGTTCGGTCGTCGAGCCCGAACGCGATGCTACGCAGGTTCAAACCATGTCGCACGAACGGAGGAGAAGAAGGTGGTCCATGGGGTTGTACACCTTTTTTTCTTTGGGAAAAAGTAGCACTACGAACAAATAGAGAGAGGTAACAGTTTTGGAGCAGAGTGTGCAAGGGCTTGCCATGTACGTACCCTCCGACCACAGCATTGTAATTTCCCGTCCCTTTGTTTTTTAGGAGGATGGTGTTAACTAGGTGTGGTAGGTGATGGGTGATGGGTGATGGGTGATGGTCCTGGGTGGTCCACACTAAATTAGGACAGAGGGGGTGGCGGTGCGCCGGGGTAATTGATCAGAGGAAGGGTGGAGGGGGGTTGCAAAAAAAAAAGAAAAAAGAAAAAAAATGAATTATGTTAACTAGTTCATTATTTTTGTTATTTTCTGTTCTTTTTTTTCTTTTTTTTTATAGCAAAAACATCCATGAGATGCCTATTATTGGAGGTGATAAGAGCATCCTCCAACAATAGGCATCCTGTTTTAGATTGCTCCAGTCTATTGGTGGGGAGCTGCACCAGCTGCAAACCGGGTCTAGCATCCCAATTACAAGATCAGACTCATCATCCGGGCGAGTCGTGAGTTGTAGGTGATGGGCAGCATTGATTGCCCTCCAGCGAGGGGATTAACTGCCCATCCGACTAAAACATTGCACCAACCCATTTATCACAACAATCCATCAGTCTACATATTTTCTGTTCTCTCTCTTTTTTTTTTTTTTTTTTTTTTTTTTTTTTTTTTTTTTTTTTTTTTTTTTTTTTTTTTNTTTTTTTTTTTTTTTTTTTTTTTTTTTTTTTTTTTTTTTTTTTCTTTTTTTTTTTTAACCAGTGCTCCATCTATGGGTGGGGAGCGTCACCTGCTGGAAACCGGGTCCAGCGTCCCATAAATACATGAATGAAGGGAGGATGCAGTCAGCATAAGGCCATAGAGGCGAGAAGTAAACGAAGGGAGAAATACTCGTGGAAAATGAAAAATTAGACAGATGCAAGTAACATGGAGAGCTTAAGGGCCTCGCCGCACCACAGTCGAAAGGCGAAAAAATTCGACGGCTGTCAGAACAAATTCGACAGCCTCCATTTGGCAATTTGCCCCCCTTTAGGCACACAGCACTGTAGAGTGCACGCACTTGTGAATGCAAGATGGAAAAAGACGAACGCGCCAGAGGGTACGACAAGCATTAGTCCATCCCGACCTTACCCCCCCTCACCGAATTTCGAAGACAAGTCGACGGCGCAGCCGAGGAGTGTCGAAAGCATTAGAGTAGCAGGCTGGGGACTGAACAACTTTCGACAGGAGGTGTCGAGAAGCATGCTCTGACAACTGGCGAATTTTTTTCCCGTCTCGGACTTCGACAGCCTGTGTGGCTAAGAGAAACTGTCGAAAATTGGATTTTCGACAGTGGTGCGGCGAGGCCTTAAGACACGACAGAAGTGAAGCACATGACACAAGAAAGATAAAAGACAAAACCAAAAACCCATGGAGACAATTGGGAACCAAAAACCCATGGAGACAATTGGGTTTTTCGCGCAAAATCAGGCACCGATAGATAAATAATGAAATAAGCACAGAATCAGTGCCATGCTTTTTTTTCTTTTTTTTTTTTTTTTTTTTTTTGGGGGGGGGTGGAAAAACACCCCCACCGGTGTTAGTGGTGCTGATAAGAGCAGACACCACTATCACCAGGAGGGAGGCTCCATCTATTGATGGGGAGCTTCATCTGCTGGAAAACGGGTCCAGCGTCCCAAGTACAGAAACCGAGGATCTCAGAAAGCAAAGATAAACAAGGAAGGGTGGTAGCTGAGAAGGTCTGCCAGCATTGATTGCCCTGCTGCACAGGGGATTGACTGAGCAGTCCTGAGCAGTCCTAATTAGAATCCTCTGTTTCCTCAGGGCTGAGCAAATYTGAATAGCATCCTCTTCACCCTAGGGGGCGCCAGATAAAGCAGTCAGGTGCTGGTGCTATTCATCAACCATTCTATTGCCCCTACCCATCCAGTATCCGGTTCCCCCCAAGGGGGGGTCCTCCCTAGTGGTCTACTCAATCCATTCCATACCACGTCCTATCCACTAGACAGTTGGATGGGGGGGGGAAGAAGTCAGGAAAACATTCCGGGGGTTTCAGTGGGGTCAAGGCATCAACTCTGGTCCATTCGTGAAAGTGCAGGCTGTAGTCTCTTATATTCTCCTCCCCTCGCAGGTCTTCCTCTGAAGCTATGTGATCTGTGGGCACTCCCTTCCATTCCACCTTGCCTATCCTCCCACCATCTACACCCCCAAGCCAGTTTGAGCCAAAGTCCTTGATTTTTTGCCTGATGTCAGCTCGTTTATGAAGGAGTTTAATTCGTGCCTTTGCGTCTTTCCATTTTGCAGTTATTCTATCTGAATTTGTTGCTGCACACTCTCGGTGAACTCCGGGCCCTCCAGGCGCGCCCCCTCCATTTCGAAAGTACAGCGTCGCCGCCAGAGTGCCCCGAGAATAGCCCGCCGCCCCAGCCTAAGCATATTCTTTGTGAATTCGTCCGCTTGCTCTGTAAGGCCCTTGGGCCAGGTTTCACACAACAGGGCCTTCCAATCCCAGGGCCATTGAACCTTTGTCTCCAATTGGTCCCACACTCGATCCCACCATCTCCATAGCCAGAGTGCACCCGGACATTGAAGGAATATGTGTTCGATTGTTTCAGGCCTTTTACGGGACGGGAATGCATTTATGCAGAGTCTACACCACGGGAGGGCCCTCCCCTGTTGTTCCAGGGATGTTTTATCAATGAGCCAATTGTTAGTCGGAAGGCAGCGGTGCTCGATCTGCCATTGGAGCGAGGCCAGTTTGGCGGGTTTTTCCTTAGCCAGTTTAAACCACCGAATCGGTCGCAGGTCCTGTTTGCTGATGTTGAGATGGTTTTTCCACTGTTCCTCTACTTGGTCCAGCAGAGCGACCTTCGGTCTCAGGAGCCTGTAGGCAGACTTAACAGTCAAGGCATATAAGGATTTCGTAAATTTCTTGCCTTGCGTGCCTTGGGTTGACCAGGACCACTCCGCCGGGTCCAGGGCAAGGTGTTGCAAGGGGGTTCCGGGCGAGTAGGCTATCCATTGCTCTTTCTCATGTAGTACCCGGATTGTGTAGACCTCTATACGGTAGGATCGAGTAGTCTCGTCAGGCTCTTTTTGAATGACATTGTCCTGCTCCAATGGGAAAAGTTGTACCTCTACTGTTCCATCCCGGGGGCCTCGGGTCACCCTGCCCACACAACTTTGCTGGTCATAGATTGCTACCCAGTCCGATTCTTGCAAGGAGGGGCCTCTGTGGAGAGTTTTCCACCATGCCAGCGGAATCATCTCAATTAGTCTCTCCATAGCTTCATACGGTCGGTGGCAGTACCGTAGTTTCTATCGGAGTTGGTCAGGTCCGATCCAGTCCTTCTTATCCGTATCCCAAATATCCTTAACCCTCATTATCCCTTTCTTGATCCGGCTCCTCCAGGGGGAATCCGTGCACAGAAGCATGCGGCCCGTCGAGTCTACCACCCATCTGTTTCCAAAGAAGGGTTGACGCGCCACCTCTTCCCATCTGTCTGGCGCTGTTTTATCCGGGGGGGGAAGGCTCCTCCATGTCCTTAAAAGGTCGGGCCAAAAGGGGTCGCGTTGGAGGTCAGCTCTGGCTTCTTGCCTGGGAGAGACGGGATGGGGATCCCCGCGCGGCCCTCTCGTGCGAGGGATAGGCCATTCTCTGTTCTCCAACCACATCAACGGGTCGGTCTCGTTTGGCGTTTGTGGTGCCAACCGCGATATCTGCTCCAGTGCTTAGCCCTCTCCAGGGGTTTTCGGGACTGAAGAACAGGCGCTTAAGCCATTGCAGGGCCAATGCTTTGGTTTGCAGTAGGGGGTCGATGATGCCCAGGCCTCCGCGGTTTTTGGGTTGGATGATAGAGTGCCACGCCACCCGGCCGAACACGTTTGGTTGCTCATGATCTCCACGCCATAAGAAGGCGGTTATCAAGCGTCGCAGTGGTCGCAAGGCATTCTTGTCCAAAGCCCAAATGGCAGATTTGTACCACATCGAGGCCAGAATGACGTTATTGATGACCAGGACACAGTCGA